CATCCTACTACTGGGTGTAGTTACACCCATTTCTCGATGACAACTTAGACAAGCCTTTGCACCATCACCCATGTTGTTGCAGAAAGGTTCTGCAACAATACCTTCGTTGCAAGACCTCTTTTGAAAATATCTCTGCACCAAGCCCTTAGTTGCAAAAAAAATAAATTCTGGAAAGAGTTTGTGTTGCAATAGTGGAGAGGCAACGCTGGGCTGCTCGAGGTACCAAAATGAACGGCTTGCGACCTGGACGATCTTTCAAAAAAAATCAGTCGACAAACGCGTAGCACGCCCCAATATCTAAACCTATCTTAATTAAAACAAGTGGGTCTAAAATTTTGCGTGGGTTAAAAGTTGATATATCGTTTTGGCTCCATAAATTGCCACGAAAAACTGATGCCACCATAGAGAAAGAGGGCCAGAGCTAAACACTCATTTTGGGGCCCAAACAACGGGATAAGCCAGTCCCGACTCTTATTTCATTTTCGATCTGTATGTAATTCAGTGCTGGTCGCGGCTTCCCTGGCCTCCGCAAGGCTGCCCCGGCCGCTGGTGGCCATTTGCCCCTTGTTGGGCTGCTGCCGAGGCCGGTTATGTCTGCATCTCCGACGGTGCATAGCTCGGGGCTTCCCCAGGCCGGGTCCTCACCACCGTTGCCGCTTGGGTGTCTCCCGTCCCCAGCCTACGCTGCTTCTGTCAACGACGCACGGTCAACCTTGACTGCTGCTGTGGGCGCGCCATCCCCGACTCCTACCGGCGCTGCTACGTTCTACTTGACTCCTGTGGAAGCCCCGCAGTTGCCCCCGACTGCTGCTGCTGGTGAAGCGCCGCCCACAATTCCTGCTGCTGAAGAGCCGTCCACAGCCACAAATCCTGTTGCTGAAGCGTTGTCCACGGCTCCAGTGGAAATGATGTCGTCCTTGGCTCCTGTCCATACTGCAACGGGTCTTGACTCAGAGCTACATGTTTCGTGGAGCTCCCTTACTGACGGCGAAGAAGATGACGATGATGATGATGAGCTGGTCCCACGGACGCCACCACCGGCTACCAAATCCTCGGTTTCAGCTGCTCGGCAGGACGTGGCGTGTGATGCGAATACATGCAGAGGTTGGTAGAAGGTGCTCCCGCGGCGCGATGTGCAATGTCAGGCGTCACAAGCCCCTGCTTTGGCTCCCCGTCCCGGCCCCGCTTGGCTTCATGGTAAATGTTGCAGATGTCCGGCGTCCACTCAGCTCCTTGGGAAGAGCTACTGTGTCGTCATTGCTCTGCCTCCCTGTCGAGCACCAACAAGCTCCATCTCCATACAAGGTCCAAAAAGAAGCCCCGCCCCTCTCGAAGACATTTTGTCATGATTCTTGGGCATCGATCGTTTCCGCTCCTACTGGCTCAATGGCCCCGACGGATATATCGATGCGGCCCACTTTGGAGAGGCAGGCCGAGCTGCTGCACTCTGAGCTCCTTGGTATGGCTTCCTTTCAGCTTGAGAAAACGGTCCAGCCTCTACGTGATGTCGTTGACTCTATGAAAGGTTGGATGTTGCGGATGGAGAGCTTCATGGAGCGAGTTGAGGCTGCACTGGGCGGGCTCTCCCTGACTCCGCCTGTGTTGCAGACTACTCATGTGTTGTGCCCTTTGGTTGTGCCCGATGGCAGCTTTGACGCTGAGAAGGGAGACGAGCTTCATGGTCGTTTCTCCCCTCGTGCTAGGGCCAGCTCGCCGCCATTAGCCTCTGAGGGACTTGACAATGATGTGGTTGTGACTCCAGTGTTACAGATCATGCCCGAGCTTCGGGAGTTGTGTGGGGGCCCGGTTTTGCCTTTGTGCGTCGAGCAACTGCAGGTAGACCCTCCCGAGATCTCGAGTGTGGTTTTGCCACCAATATCACCCCTGTAGTCGAGCCAGATAGTTGATGCTGAGGAGAGTAGTGATTTGGACGGTGCAATCCTCGCTCGCCCAAGTCCATTGGGCGTCAGGCGTTAGTCATCGAGCGCGGAGTTTCAGATGTTGTTGACGTTCCCTCATGTGCGACCATCGAGCAGGTGATGCCTGTGAGTGGCATGGCCATTGAGCCAAGTGTGTTGGCACCTACTCCAACTCCAAATCCAAATGCTTTCTTCGCGAAGGAACTTTGTGACTTGCTCGCAGCGTGGAGGTTGCTAGACCTGGTTTGGGCAGGTCGATTGCTTGCCTCCTGACGGGAACGCCAATAAGTGGCAAACAAAAGAAGATGGGCAAAGGCAAGAGTAGCGTCATAGGCAAGGCGTCTCTGGTTGCTTGATGGATGATCTTCGGCCTCTCGGCTTGTCCTTTTGGATTGGGAGGTGCATGATGTCTTGTATCGTTGGTGTTCTTGTTGAGATTCACTTGGCGTAGTGATAGTGGGTTTGTGGATGTTGTTCATTTGGAGAGTTTGGCAAGGGCCGACTATGCGGTTGGGGAATTTCTTGCCATATGAGTAGTTAGTCCGTGCTCTATTTGTGTAGGTTTTCGCTCGATTTTTCTTAAATTAACTGGGCAATTCTTTTCTTTTTAATTAATCGAATAGGCAAAACTTTTGCCTCCATTTAAAAAATATATATACTAATCCCAGCAGCTTTGGACACGCGGCGGCGCGCCACTGCGCAGGTGATGGAATCGCTGAGCTGAGAGTCCAGGTTTCCCTTGCATGCGTGTGGCAGCAACAGGAATCTGAGGAAGGAATACACACAACAGCGGCAGCAAGCAGCACGGAAGAAAGGAATGAGGCCCGATCACAGCGACAGCGCCACTTTTCTCTTGCTGCTAGGAGCGTCTGAAATTTTTACCGCGGAGCCGAGGAAGGTAGGCACCTGCTAGCCAGCTAGGCCCTCCATGGATCCCTATCCCCGCCGGCGAAGCAAGCAATCCCCTCCATCTTCCTCCCGCTCACGTATTCTTGTTCCTTTTTTCGTTCCCTGCTGTACTTCCCCTCCATTATTTTTCCCTTTCAAGCTCATGGGCATCGCTGGAGGTGCTCCGCCGATCGACGCTTCCCGCCATATTTATACCCGCGCGCGCGCAAAACGGCCATGCCCATACCAACTTCAAAGTCCTGCTCTTGTTCTGTTTTGGACTGAGCGTAGCGAGACACCATGGGTTCCTGGTCGAGAGCCGCTCTGGTGCTCGCGCTGCCTCTCCTTTGCTTCCTGTCAGGTACGCATTTCACTTGCAGATCTGCTCCAGTTCTATTGATCGGCACTCACTGTCGACCTTGTTTCCCGTCAGAATTTTGACGCACGTAATTCGTGTCCACGCAGGCGCGACGACGCGTGCGGAGTCGGCCAGGATGTTCACCATCATCAACAAGTGCGAGGCGACGGTGTGGCCGGCGGTGACGCCCGGGGACAGCTTCGGCGGGGGCGGGTTCGAGCTCAAGACGGGGCAGTCGGCCGTCTTCACGGCGCCGCCGGCGTGGTCGGGCCGCATCTGGGGCCGCACGGACTGCGCCTTCGACCAGGCCGGCACCGGCAAGTGCGCCACGGGCTCCTGCGGCGCGGCCCTCAAGTGCGGCGCGTCCGGCGACCCGCCGGCGAGCCTGGCCGAGTTCACGATCGCCTCCCCCGACTTCTACGACGTGAGCCTCGTGGACGGCTTCAACCTGCCCATCACGGTGACCCCCGTGAACGGGCGCGGCAACTGCTCGGTGGCCGGGTGCGACGGCGACCTCCGGGAGACCTGCCCCGCCGAGCTCTCCGTGAAGGGCCCCAACGGGAAGACCGCGGCGTGCCGGAGCGCCTGCGACGTGTTCAACACCGACCAGTACTGCTGCCGCGGCAAGTTCGGGGGCCCGTCCACGTGCCCGCCCACGCCATACTCCAAGAAGTTCAAGGAGGCCTGCCCGTCCGCCTACAGCTACGCCTACGACGACCCCAGCAGCCTCTTCCAGTGCTCCGGCGCCGACTACGTCGTCACCTTCTGCGCAAACAGGTGACGCCATTAATCAAATTCCTGTGATCTTTACACTTGAGACTCCGAGTTTCCATATTTGGGTACCAATGCATACATTCTTGTGTGTCTACCAGGAAGCAGTCGGTGTGCACGCACCACAACAACAAGCTCGAGTGCGGTGGCTCAAGCCGACGCCTGCCGATCATGCCCACCATGGCGCTGCTGGTGCTGCTCGTCAGCTTTGTGGCCCTGCAGGTTCCCATGTGATTCAGGATAACAAATTTTAAGGTGGATTCTCGGTATTTCTTCGGAGTTTGGAGAGGAAACGTTAGCGATCTTTTTTTCTTACCTGTGTTTTCAATCGTCTGCCCTGGTGTGAATGGAGGCGTGGCCACAGCATGCAGTACACAATGGTTCGTGTGAACTTTTTTAGTGGACCGGCTCTTGCCAAATGTAAATAGTGCGCAAATGTAAGAAAATGTTCACTCAAAATGTTCTTCCATGGAAATAAGCAGTTTGATCACACAAGGCGGCAATGAGAAACATAGTGAGGGCATTGCATTATCGCCAGCCTGAGCTTCAAAAAGCAAAGCCACTGATTTATTCTTGTTTCAAGAAATTTGGCTAAGTAAGAAAATTGTTTGATTTGATTTGGTCGGGGTGCACCAGGCCTAGGCAGTAGTGCAACACCTAGATGACACATCAGGGTCCTAGCAGCAAGCTACTATGGTGGGCCCTTCCCCATAAAAAATAAATTTAATATCATTGTGGGCATGTAGCCCACATATCAGATATTAAACTGATAAGAGCACATACTACACTTGATCTTAGCCAAAAGACCGAGAAAGGTATGCTTTGACATTGCCCTGAGTCTCCTTTTATTGCTTCCTCGACCGACTATGCCACTTGTCCAGGCGATGTGGGATTAAACGTGAATCAGAGTTGAGAGTTTTGCAGTATGCTTTGGCAGCGTGCCTCTCTGTCTGTGCTTCCCCGTATTTGGGTTTATAAGGGCATGGCCATCGCTTCAGGGTGGACCGCTGCCCCACGGATCCACGTCGGGCGAGCTGCTGTCGTGGAAAAGAGAAGAAAAAAGACGGTCGCTTGCAGAGCCAAACGGGATCTTGCAGAAGAGGTTGCTCCCTTGCTGAAAAAGGCTGATGGAAAGGACAAACTGGAGGAGAGAGAACTTAAAATAAGAGGAAAAACGAGCCATGGAGTAAAAAGTAGTGACAGGGAGAGAGATAGGTGGACCACTAGAAGAGCTACTGCTTCGGATGGGTAGGAGATGTTCATTCGGTGGCCTCATTAATTTTTTCCTTAGGTGGAGGCTGAAACCACACCGGGGTGATGCCCCCATAGTTCATGCCCTAAGATGTCCGGGAAGAATTTTGTAGCCCACATGGCTGAACGTTGGTTTTCGCTGAAGGGCTGCGCAAAACGGGCCGGCCCATTAACATGCCTCAAGCGGATGTGAAAAATTTGATGAAGAATATTAGCAAGCGCATGGACTCGAGGGAAAATCCTATTCGCCGCTCGCTGCGGCGAACTGTTGAGCAATCGCACATAAGCAGCGCAGAGAGCGACATATATGGGCCGGCCCACTTATACATAGTGCCTCCAACCGGTTTTGGGAACCTTCTAGAAGGTTCCCTGAAGCGGGTTTTTTTTCCTGTATCGTTTTTTCTGGTTCTTTTCGGCTTTCTATTGGTTTTTATTTCTCTTTTTTTCGTTCATTCCTTGTCTGTTTTTTTAGTTTCTCTTCCTTTTCTTTATGTTTTTTTTTCAAAATTTCACAACTTTGCAAAATTTGTTCGCATATTTAATAAAAATGTTCATATTTTCAATTTTTGTACGTGAGTTTCAATAGATGTTCCTATTTCAAAGTTTGTTTACAAATTTCAAAAAAATGTTCGTGCTTGAAATTTTTGTTCGTGAGTTTCATAAATGTTCCCGTTTCAAAAATTTGTTCACACATTTCAAATTTTGTTCGGGAGTTTCGAAAATATTTTAAACAATGTTTTTTATTTTCAAAAATATTTCACGAGATTGAAAAATGTTCCCGTTTGAACTTTGTTCACAAATTTCAAAAAAAATTCGGAATTTTGAAAAAATGTTCGCAATATTTTAAACAATGTTTAGTTTAAAACATGTTCTTGTTTCCTAACATTATTTGCATTTTTTGAAATATTTGAGTATTTCCAAATTTTGTTCACAATTTTTAAAAGTCTTCGCGGTTCCAATTTTTTGTTCGGAATTTGATGAAAAGTTCCATTTTTCAATTTTTGTTCATAGTATCCAAAAATATTCGTAGTTAAACTTTTTTGTTCAGAATTTCATGAAAATTGTCGTTTTTACAAAAATTTGTTCAAAAATTTGAAGAATGTTTGCTGTTTAAAATTTGGTCGTGTGTTCAAAAAAATACTCCTGATGTTGAACATGTGTTCAAAAATTCAGAAAATGCTTGCATATTTCAAAACATACACTAATTTGTAATTGTTCAGAATTTAAAAAAATGCTCCCATTTTTAAAATTTGAGCACCAAATTTAGAAGTGTTTGAGTTTAAAAAATGTTTGTATTTTCAAAAAGATATCCAAAATTAAGGAAATGTTCCTTCTTGTTTGAAATATCATAGATTCAAAGATTGTTCACACTTTCCAAAAATGTTCAGGTTATTAGAAAATTGTTCAGAAATTAAAAAATGTTCCCATTTTCAAATTTTGTTCAGGATTGAAGTTTTTAGAAATTGTTCAGAAATTTATAAACGTTCCAGTTTTCAAATTTTGTTCACAATTTAAAAAATGGTTGCACTTTTTAAAACATTATACATTTCCAAAATAGCCTTTGAAAAAAGCACTATCAGGAGATCTTCGGTTTGATGCCTCATTGGGGCTTTAGCATTTGCAAATCTGCTACACTTTTGCCGCTGTTGACAATTTCTTTTAGGGTTGTGCTGCTAATTTAGCACAACACCTTGTCTAGCGCTAACAATAAAGTACAGTAGCAGATCCTTTTTTTTAAATTTGCCAAAAAATTCTTGGAAAAAAGGTTTGAACATATTTTCTGATAAAATTTCTTTTCAGCTGTTTTTCACCTCGCGGACGACAAATGGGCCGGCCCAAGTGTGCGCCCCTGTGCGGCACGTCGACTCTTTGACGCAAGAAGCGGCACATAGGAGCTCCCTGGACTCACCTCGCAACTGTTTGTCAGTAAAGCGTAGCGCTAACAATAAAGTACAGTAGCAGATCCTTTTTTTTTAAATTTGCCAAAAAATTCTTGGAAAAAAGGTTTGAACATATTTTCTGATAAAATTTCTTTTCAGCTGTTTTTCACCTCGCGGACGACAAATGGGCCGGCCCAAGTGTGCGCCACTGTGCGGCACGTCGACTCTTTGACGCAAGAAGCATCACATAGGAGCTCCCTGGAGTCGAGTTCCCGACCTCACGTCGAAACGAAACACAGCTAGCTAGTCCACCTCGCAATTGTTTGTCAGTAAAGCGTAGCGCTAACAATAAAGTACAGTAGCAGATCCTTTTTTTTCAAATTTGCCAAAAATCCTTGGAAAAAAGGTTTGAACATATTTTATGATAAAATGTGAATACTATTTCAAAATAATGAAACCAATTTTGAATTTCAATCTTTTTGAAAATCGAACAATTTTTTAAACAGTGAATTAAAATACATATTGAACATTTTGTTAATATACGGTGCATGTTATTCAAATACACACCGAAGATTTTTTTTAATATGGTGAATATTTTTTAAATGCAAGCTAAACAAATTTTCTATACACGATGAAACATTTTTTTGTACACAGTGAGCATTTTTTCAATTTATGTTGAACATTTTTTCAATGTAGTGAAATTTTATGAAAGGTGAAAAAGTTAAACATGAAGAAAAAGTGTACTCATGAAAATATTTCAAAAAATAAAGCAAAATTTAAATTCTGAACATTTAAAAAATGAATTTATGAAAAAATACAAAAAAACTGGAAAAAGATTAAGTAAGCAGAAACAGGAAAAAGGGAAAATAAAAAAAGTAGCAAAAAGAAAAATAAAAAAACCATTAAAAACAATGAAAAAAGAGAGTAAAAAAATTGGTTCAGGGCTGTCGGCTTGAAGTGGGCCGGCCGTGCAGTTCCCTCGCTAGCTTCGCTTTCAGCTAAGCTGCATCTGTTTGCCGCACACGCGCGGCAAATAGGATTCGCTAGTATAAACGCACTGGATGATGTTGGCCTTTGGTTATGCTAGTGCTGTACATACCTATAGCTGAGCTTATTACTTCTCTCTAAAAAAACTCAGCTTATTAAAGAAACTGCATCTGACCTGATATAGATTATCTTAAGCTCATCTCCAATGCAATGGCTAAGGTGCACGCCATGGTTTCTGAATCATAACGAAATGAGACTGCTTTCGGTTTGAGCGTGTATATTAATATAAAAAACTATGCCACTTGTTTGCATTACTAGATGACACGGAGTTCAGGAGCATCTTCAATAGTTCATGTCAACTACTCTCTACATTCACAAATATAAGATATTTGAATATTTTAATATGGGCTACATCTAAACTGAAATAAGTAAACAAATACACTAAAATGTATCTATGTACATCCGATTTAAAAATAATTCGAACATCTTATATTTATGAACGAAGGAGTATGTGTAAGGGTTATCACTAATCACATCCGCCTTGATGATACCGAGAAGAGAATGAGCCACAGCAAGGAGAAAGTTGGTTAAGATGTTTAGTAAGCAATAAATGATTTTTGTTTATTAATATCACAAAGGAGACACATGCACCCGATGAACAAACGTTGAAACCAAGGTGCATCCTTAGTTGAAGTCATAGATCCGTGTGGAAATTTGCACTTTACTTTGAGCCATTTGAAACACTTGTAATGATTGATTGTATTTTTACCAGAACTAAAGTTTTAAATTTTTGCAGGTTATTTTCAAGGCCACCAGTTGGATCCATACATGCACTACTAGGAAAAGGCCTACTAATGGCAAACTGGTTTTGCCTACTAATGGCGCACTACCGATGCGCCATTAGTACCACACCTCTAGTATTTTTTACTAATGGCGCACCACTGGTGCGCCATTAGTATCTGGTATACTAATGACGCACCAAGCAATGCGTCATTAGTATGTAAGACTATGCGTCATTAGTATGCCTCCCGGGGGGTCATACGTAACCATGTGCTTTGTCATACTAATGGCGCACTCTGAGGTGATGCACCATTAGTATCCTTTGGCATACTAATG